GTACCTGGGTGTTAGTCGACTGGTGTGGGTCGCATCCTGGAACAAAACTGACCTAATTTGCCCGAAATGTTTTGAGCATAACAAGCTGCTTTCTATATACATGTAGTAGTATGTCATCTCTCACCCTAATCTTGCCACCCTCAACACCATTGCGTTCTAGTGGTACACTCTGTAATCACAATTTTACTATATGTAAACCAAACAATAACCAAATTTCTGTTAACTCAGCATTGTAATCCTTATAGAGAATAAACTTTGAATTGAATTGAATTGATGTCAGCTAGGACTGTATACCTTGTGCATGTACTTGTAGAAATAAAGATATTATTATTATTATATTTTTAAGACCAGACGTTTACACGGCATTAAGACCAGATGTCTACGCTGCATCAAGACCAGAAGTCTACACTGCATCAAGACCATTTGTCTAAACGCCAATAAAACTAGCTTAAACGTCAATTGTTTATGACCAATTTTAGTGGTGGCGACGCCTGCTGCTGTTGGTAAGTTGATGCTGTTGTTTCTGATGCTGCTGCTACTGTTGATGCTGCTGCTGCTTCTCCTGCTACTAATGATGCTGTTCATAATGTTGCTGCTTTTGGAGCAGCGTATGAACCCTCTCCAAGTTCCGGACCTTCTCGGACCCTTATAGGTCACGGTATGACCCCTTAAGGGTCATACGGTGCCTGGAGAATGGGATTCAAACAGCCTTGATTGAAGGAAGAGAAAGCGTAGCTCCAATTCCCAAGAATCAAGTGCCCTGCACCAGCATCAAGGGGGGGGTAACGATGTCTTGCGAGACGCAACGTAAATTCAATTTTGAGTTCAGTTGTGTACTAACATCATTAAAAATGCTCGCTGGCAAACCCACATCTTTTTTCCTTAATCATGTTAATTAAATTCGGGTATTCTCATGGATGTTTCTAGGAGCATTATCAGATATCATGAAATATGTATAAATATTTGTCGTGTAGATGTCAGCAGTCAGACATGTTCCCACGGTGACGCACCATTAAATTGTGGACGACGGAAATTAGAGATAAGAGAGCGGGAGAGAGAGTGGGAGAAAGAGTGGGAGAGAGAGTGGGAGAGTAGGAGAAAGAGTGGGGGAGAGGGAGAAAGAGTGGGAGAGAGAGAGAGAGAGAGAGAGAGAGAGGAGAGAGAGAGAGAGAGAGAGAGAGAGAGAGAGAGAGAGAGAGAGAGAGAGAGAGAGAAATTATAATTAAAACTAAGAGCTAAACCCGAGACAAATGGCAATTCCTGAAGCGTTGACGTCAGTTTATTTATTATTATTATTATTATTATTATTATTGTGAAGCTCTAAACCCGTAAGGGAAGGTTAAAGAGGTTTGATAAAAGGAAGGGCTACTCTAGTTCACAGGATCAAGAGCCATTTAACATCAAGAACACCTCTCTCTCAGACGAGGCGTACACAGTGATGCAAGGTGGTGTACTCACCTAGTTGTGGATGCAGGGGTCGATTCACAGCTCCTGAACCCGCCTCTTCACTGGCCGCTACTAGGTCACTCTTCCTGCTCCATGAGCTTTATCATATCTCTTCTTAAAGCTATGTATGGAAACTGCCTCCATACATCACTTCCCAGACTATTCCACTTCCTGACAACTCTGTGACTAAGAAATATTTCCTAACTTCCCTATGATTCATCTGAGTCTTCAACTTCCAACTGTGACCGTTTGTTGCTGTGTTCCATCTCTGGAACATCCTGTCTCTGTCCACCGTGTCGATTCCACTCAGTATTTTACGTGCCGTTATCATAACGACAGCGGTGATGACAAAGTTTTCTGGCATGTCACATCTTCATTTCGACTGCCACTCAGTAAAAAAAAAAAAAATGTTTCTCAAGGTACGGTATTCGCCCCACTTCTCTCTCTCATTCTCATATTCGACATACACAGGACATAAAGCGTTATATCATCCTTTAAAGTTAATGCAAGAATTTGCATGAGAATGGAGTCCATAGAAGACAGAACAAGCCTTCTAGCTGATGGAAACCAAGTCTTCCAGTAAGCTGGAACGAGGACAAATTCCAGTTACTACCTGAGATGTGAGAGATTTGGGAGTAATAATGTCAGGTTATTTCACTTTCAAGGACCACTACAATGTAGCCCGGTGGCCTGGTGGCTAAAGCTCCCGCTTCACACACGGAGGGCCCGGGTTCGATTCCCGGCGGGTGGAAACATTTCGACACGTTTCCTTACACCTGTTGTCCTGTTCATCTAGCAGCAAATAGGTACCTGGGTGTTAGTCGACTGGTGTGGGTCGCATCCTGGGGGACAAGATTAAGGACCCCAATGGAAATAAGTTAGACAGTCCTCGATGACGCACTGACTTTCTTGGGTTATCCTGGGTGGCTAACCCTCCGGGGTTAAAAATCCGAACGAAATCTTATCTTATCTTCTCGCAACCGCGAGGAGAGTAATACGTTGGATACCTGGAGTTTACCTGGAGAGAGTTCCGGGGGTCAACGCCCCCGCGGCCCGGTCTGTGACCAGGCCTCCTGGTGGATCAGAGCCTGATCAACCAGGCTGTTGCTGCTGGCTGCACGCAAACCAACGTACGAGCCACAGCCCGGCTGATCAGGAACTGACTTTAGGTGCTTGTCCAGTGCCAGCTTGAAGACTGCCAGGGGTCTGTTGGTAATCCCCCTTATGTGTGCTGGGAGGCAGTTGAACAGTCTCGGGCCCCTGACACTTATTGTATGGTCTCTTAACGTGCTAGTGACACCCCTGCTTTTCATTGGGGGGATGGTGCATCGTCTGCCAAGTCTTTTGCTTTCGTAGTGATATTGAGAACTTTAAAAACAAGAGATCCCAAGGCAATGATGACACTCTTCAAGTCACTCGTCTTCTCTCGCTGGAATACTGTTGTATACTAATTATTATTATAATAAAAAAAGAAGCGCTAAGCCACAAGGACTATACAGCTGTTGTATACTAAGAGTCCTCATGAAGGCAAGAAAAACTGCAGAACCGGTGAACTCACAGAGAACCTTCACAATTCGGACAACCTCAGTCAAACACCTAAATTACTGGAAGCGCATTAAGCCCTCTAAGCTATACACCTTAGAACGTAAGCGAGAAAGATACAAGTAATCTGTAAATACCTTTGTAACTTGTCATGATTGTGACTAGACCTACCTGGAGTTCATTACTTTTGTAAATTGTGAGTTCATTACCTTTGTAAATTGTGAATTCATTACCTCTGTAACTTGCTCAGCTATCAAAACTTTGAGGCCCAGTCCCTGGACCCATTATGTACCTCTGTAATCTTTTGACTACCGCCCACAGGATGGGTATGGGGTGCATAATAAACATATTAAACTTAAACTAATCTTTACCGGAAATATTCTGGAGGGTTTGGTTACAAACCTCCACACCGAAATCACCCCAAATGCAGAGCAGAGGAAGGTTGAAGTGGAGAGAGGAGAGAAGAGTAGGAATAGGGGTTGTCCCACCTCTTGGCCACCAGTGTAAAGGTCGATGTCCCCCCACCTCCACCACTGAATTCACTGTATAAACAACTCATTACTGTTTTTTACCAAATCAATAAATTTCTAAAGTTAATTGGTATTGTTACCCGCTTAACTAACAGAATGATAGAGTTCAGACCTTTGGCCCATTATGTATCTCTGTAATCTTTTGACTACCCTCCACAGGATACGTAAGGGGTGACCAATGCTCACAGCTTGGATATTTGAGGACAATTACATCCCCACATGATGGGAATGAGGTGCAATCTCAAGCTGTCAAACTAACCACACTAAGTTAATTAATACATGCCTTTTCTTCCAATCTATTCTTTGCTCAAGCTTTCTTAAGTGAGGCTCTCTTGTTCATCTCCTGTCAAGGCTTTCGTGTGACTGCATTCCATATTGTGCAGCAGTCACGCGTTGGCTGTGATCGAGAAAGCTCCGCTTTAGGTGCTGCATTATTCGCTCACTTTTAAACGTAACTCTGATGCTTCCGGGATTGAGCTTACCTCAGAGTAAGCCATTATGTACAAGTAACATGCATATATCCATTCCTCTTCCTAATAGGTTCAATCTGTTATGCTTAATGTTTATGTTTTTTTTTCCTTCGGTTAGTCTCATCTTGGCCCTGAAGTTTTCGTTGAGGTTCATTTTCTTGTCTTGGTTATCCGCCTAATTTCATTAGTTTGAAGAACTCATGCTAGAATGACTTTCTTCTCTCTTAAGTTAACTTCGTCCGTGAAGATACCTGCGCCCTACCTCTCTTCTGTTTCTATTTTGCATGATCTTAACACAACCTCCACCCTCTAGGTATTAAATCTTCAAAGGAATACACTTCACAGCAATAAAATTCATAGTCTCGCTGCCACTGACACTTCTGGCAATTACTGTACTTCTTGCTCCTCTCGGCCTGTCCAATATACTGGATAACCTGGATGCACTCTTCCTCACGGAAGAAGTGTTTGCCTTCTCGACACAGTGCCTTTCTCTCTCAAGTCAGGGAGCCTCCGTAGACGCCGTCTTATTGAACAGACTCTCATACGCGACAAATCGCAACCCTGGCTTCGTTTCTGGGGATAAGTAAGGAGTCGTATGGTGGGTCGATTGTAAAATACCCGTCAAATATTGTTATCTTCAGTTTACTATAATCACTGGAAAGGGCTGAACACGTAAGGGTAATACAGTACTTGGAAATGGGAGGTAACATGGTCTGCTAAGACGAAGGAGACCTGACTGGATCAAGTCACCCACCTTGAAGTGCCACGAAGCATTAAAGCGTCGCCAGCCTTTCATTTGGAGTTTGTGAGTTTTGTGGTGTTCAGCACTTGGAGGTTTTTTCCATGAAAGTGCAAAGTTGTCATCCTCTGGTAATCTACAGTATATATTCTTGTTTTATGTAAACATATTCAAGGTGAGGTCTAACAAGTGCGCTACTGAGAGTAAAGGGGAGAGAGAGAGAGAAAGAGAGAATGAGAGAGAATCTTTTATTTCACTGTTATCTTCTCTTACCATGAGCATCCCTGTAGTAAGCATGGGTGACGCTTCGGAAACGTTCTTGACCTGCTGTGTCCCAGATCTGGAGTTTAACCTTTGACCCATCCACCGTCACCACCTTGTTCTGAAATATAAAGTAGAGTGAGAGGGGAGAAGTCAGGTCATGTAGTCTGGAGAAGATAAATGAGTCAGGTCACCACGCGCTGACCTCTCATGTTCAGTCAGACGACATCAACTCCATAGTCAGTCCGATATTTGCGCGTGGCAGGCAACCCAGCCATAGTTTCCAATTTCTCTCGCAGCCGATGTTTGGAGTTCGTAGTTGCAGCTGTATTTTCTTGATGGGCACATCACTGCTGTCACTATCACCACTGAAAGTACCCGGGTTCGACTCCCCAATGGATGGGCACGTTACGTGTGAATCTCCTCACACCTGCTGATCAGCCCCTGTTCACAAAGCGCCTAGATTTGAGTCGGCTCTTACGCGTTGCATCTTAGTAAAAGGACCGGAAGGATTCCAAGAAAAATAAATCCTAATTCTTTGCTTTCTTGGGTTATCCAGGATTAAAAACCCTCCGGGATTTATAATTCTAAGATTTTTTCATTTTCTTCAACAGAATATTGCTACTGATTTGTCTTTTTTATTAATGGCAAATAAATAGAAAATGTGAAGCTGGTGTTGCTAGAAACTATGAATTGTGCCGAATACAAGCCAACTGTGGATTGAATGAGCACTGATGGATTATTATAATAAAAAGAAGCGCTAAACCACAAGGGCCATACAGCGCTGCAGCACTGATGGAGTCATGTCCTTCAACAAGGTGCAACGAGATTAAAACTGCTGATACCGGCCCGTCTTGTGATGTAATAGCCGTCTTCTGAATGTACATAAAGCCAGGTAGGGGCACCCTGAGAACATTTCCCTTGTACATAACATTAAGACCACCGCAATCCCACAGGTGCTGACGGCATTACTGAAATGCCAAGCCTCACTAGGCCAGGTCAAGGTGAGAGATAAGTCGCCTCGTAGAGTCCTCTATCTTGTCCAGAAATCGAATATGCAATGGAAACGGATGGAGGGGAAGGGAGGGGAAAATAAACAATCCAAGATCATAATGCTTACTCAAATATAGTCTTGAACTGCTGCCGTCGAGAAATTTCGAGACGTGCTGTAACATTCTTGCCTGTCTACACAAATAACCCACACATAGAAGAGAGGAGCTTACGACGAAATTTCGGTCCGACTTTGTAAATGGTCCAAGTTGGACCGAAACGTCGTCGTAAGCTCCTCTCTCTCCTATGTGTGGGTATTTGTGTATTTTTCCAGTCATGGTATTGTGACTTTTTGTCCAAGATTCACCACCTTATTCTTTTTAGTTACTACAAACTTAACTGTAGCAACTTCGTAATTTCTAATCAGCATCATAATTTGTCATTCCTTCAGGCGCAAGCTTAGCCATCCCTTGTCCCAGGCAGAGTTACCTGTAATCTACCGACCAACGTGAATTAGGGCAAGGCTAGTCTCTTCTTATGTAAGTAAATGCTAGAGTCCCGTCATCTGGAAAGGAATTTGTATATGGGATGAGGGACAACAGTTCCCTGAAGGAGACTTCCACAGTTGAGGAAAAAAAGATACTTGTCTGTGGTACGCTGGCATGTCTTACGGAGGAAGGATTCTAACCCACTTTCCAATGGTTCATATATATATATATATATATATATATATATATATATATATATATATATATATATATATATATATATATATATATATATATATATATATATATATATATAACTATATAGTTACACATGAAATATAAATCAACAGGAAGACACAGGGTGCCAGAAAGGCTACGTAAACCCCAGGTTTGGTGAGGTTTGGCAGAGAGAGAGAGAGAGAGAGAGAGAGAGAGAGATATCAAAGTAAACATGGTTGTAAATTTAGAGGTGGCACAATATATACTTTTTCCCCCAACAATCCAATTTATCTACACCAAAAAATATACTGTCAGTAACACGCTACTAGCTGGCTGTGTGTGGTGTATGTTAAATATAAGAGTGTATTCAGCTATGTTAAATATAACACTGTGTGTGGCTACGTTAAATTTAACACTGAGTGACTACCTTAAATACATGCTCGTCTTTCGATTATCCAGGACGGTCTTAATAACTTCTGACCAAACAGTTTATCCTACAATTTAAAAACACGCGCAATAAATTATATATATAGGAAAAACTGGTCAATTAACAAGAGCTCGTTTAAAATTAAGTCCTTCCTAAAATTCTCTTAAACGTTTAAAGATATTTTTTTTTCGTTTACGCTACTGTAAAAATTAATAATTTTGTACCAAAAGAACCTTAGAAAACTTATCTAACCTTATTATAACAAGCGCAATTTAATTTAGCCCAATCTAACTAAATATATTTTAGAGAAGTTTACAATAATTTAATAATAAACCAAAACAATGAAATATATGTTTTCATTACATTCAAAATGATTTTTGCGAAATTGCATACACAAATTTTCGTTTGCCTTATTCGGCAAGAAAAGCGTTGCTATTTAAGCCAAAATAGCAAATTTTACCTATTCGGCACGACACGCACATACATATTATATATATATATATATATATATATATATATATATATATATATATATATATATATATATATATATATATATATATATATATATATATGTCGTGCCGAATATGTAAAACTGGTCAATTAGCAAGAACTCATTTAAAATTAAGTCCTTTCTAAAATTTTCCCTTATACGTTTAAAGATATATTTTTTTCGTCAATGTTGATGTAAAAATTTATAATTTTGCACCAAAAGGAACTTAGAAAACTTACCTAACCTAATTATAACAAGCTCAATTTATTTTAGCCTAACCCAACTAAATATATTTTAGATTTGTTTACAGTAATTTAATACTAAACATAGTGAAATATATTTTTTTCGTTAGGTTCAGAATGATTTTGGCGAAATTATTGCATACACAAATTTTCACTTGTCCTATATGGCAAGATGAACGTTGCTATTTAAGCCAAGATCGCAAGTTCTGCCTATTCGGCACGACATATATATATATATATATAATATATATATATATATATATATATATATATATATATATTATATATATATATATATATATATATATATATATAATCACTGAATTTCAGTTTTGTTGCTTAATTCATATTGTAAAATTATCGTAAAATCGTACGAAAATAGGAAAATGATTATGAATACATTCATATAGCATAATATACAAAATATACACGACATTATTTTACTGAAAATAGTGAATTAAAAAAATTGACATGTCATTTAGAGAGTTAAAGTGCGAATGTATAGTTATACAACACATTCATACAACTATACTTACAATAGATATGTTGTATGCAGATGTGTATATCTGTCAGTGTATGTACAATGACTCGGCTTTCAACCTTGTCATACACTGAAGAATTCTTGACTACTAGTGAGCCAGTACTCACCTAATTGTGGTTGCAGGGGTCGAGACTCACCTCCTCAATGACCCTCGTGTAGTCGATAGATAATAAACCTGGTAAATCATCAAAAATTTCCTACTAAACAAGGGTGGTAAACATACGGACTGAAATATATATTTTTTATGTGTAAAAAAATATTTTTGCCTCGTAATTGATGACGGGAAAGTCGATCAGAGTGCAAGGCAGCGTAAAATACATACCTAGACTGTAACATATTTTTTAAAAGAGGAGGAAACTATTTTGCATCGTATTTCACGCTGGGAGTCTCGATGGGAGCTCCTGGAAGCACCGTGCACAGGTGAGTAGCTGTCAGTGTGATGGTTGGCCTCGGTGTGTCAGTCAAGCAGGAGCTGAACACCGTCAGTTGAACACTCTTCATTATCGGGTCGAGTGAGGTCAGGCAACTCATCTCAACCCAGAATTGCTACTGCTAAATGAGACACAGTCAGCTTCCACCAGGTCACATTCTCCTGACCTGACCCTTGCACCAACAATAATTCTACTTACTATCCAGTTATATCATTAATAATAATATTACACTACTACTATTATTATACTTCCAAAACACAAGTGCTTAACGTTATACGACTGAAGGTTTATATATATATATATATATATATATATATATATATATATATATATATATATATATATATATATATATATATATATATATATATATATACGTCAGTAGATGGGGGTTATGAAAAATGAACTCTCAAAACATTTTGCGCCTAATATAAATGAAGAACATAAGATCGAGCAGCTAGTAGTAATAGTGGTAGCAGCTATTAGTAGTAGCTAGTAGTAATAGTGGTAACAGCTAGTAGTAATAATGATAGCATCTAGTAGTAATAGTGGTTGTAGCTAGTAGAAATAGTGGTAGCTAGTAGTAATAGTGGTGGCAGTAATAGTTGTACCAGCTAGTAGTAATAGTAGTAGTAGCTAGCAATAACAGTGGTAGTAGCTAGAGTAATAATGGTAGTAGTTTTTTCACATTTTCACAGCACTTTGACCTTGTAAGTCATTCACAGCTCGCACCATGAAAAAGTAAAGATATGCAATACACACACAATAAAGACTAAGGTTAGGATAAATAATAAAAACTGTGGACGAGGATAAAACACTCAACACAAATGTCATCATACCAAGTACACAAACCAAGCATCGATTAAAAGTTTCACCGAGGTCCCAACAGGCACCTCGGTGATTAAAAAACTAAAACACGTAGGCGGAGAGGACTCAACAGGTGGCTGTGGCACCAACCAAGTGACATTAATTAAAAAAAATAATATTAAAAAGCCAGGTACACTGGACTAAGTAAGTACACGTGTACACTTGGGATGGGAGATTTTTTTAGCAAAACTGGATACATCAGCAGCGTGCTGCTACGCTATTCTATATGACAGCTTAACGGCAGGAACAAAAGTTAGATATGTTTCTCTGTCGTATTCCACATTACAGGATGGGTTGCATGCACAGTGTTAAAGTGTGTCAGCTCGAGGTAGACAACTTCAGCAGGGTACTGAGGATACCGTCAAGCGTTCCAACAAGGGTTCTTCGGCTATGGCAGCTTCAAAGGTTTTGCTCCAGCAGAAC